GCATGCCTGTAGTCCCAGCTACTCGGGAGGCTGAGGCAGAAGGATTGCTTGAGCCCAGGAGTTTGAGGTTGCTGTGAGCTAGGCTGATGCCATGGCACTCACTCTAGCCTGGGCAAAAGAGTGAGACTCTGTCTCAAAAAAAAAAAAAAAAAGAACTCAATAAATGTTAACTATTATGATTACATGAAGGCCCTTTATAAGCAATAAGGAATTACATAAGTGAGGTAATTATATATTTTTATTATTTTTTATCTGTCAAGTTCTGGTTTAGAAGGTGTGCTAAATTGAAAAGAAGTATAAATCTTAATCTCTGTCCTCATTGAATTTATAATCCAGCTGAGGCAAAGATGATCAACACTGTAAGTTAGTAAACTATCAAATCACGGACATTCTACTTTCTACCTGTCAAGGCAGAAGAGATCACTACCATTAGAGAAAAGTATCACAAAGGATATGGGACTTCACCAGGGACTACAGAATAGGCAGATTGGCAAAAGAAAGAGAAAACAAACCCCATAAACGAATTCATGAATATATGGGGTATGAAAGGCATCTCATCTAAAGCACCTGACCTTCTTAGAAAAGTATGCTCTTCCCAGTCTGCTTTCCCTTCTGTGTGGAAAGAACTTAATTCATTAATTTTCTGGCCTCTCTCGGCCCTTTTACACAATGTGCCTCAGGGCACATTGTAAAGCAGGGGTCTCCAACCTATGGTGGGTTGTATAATTATGTCATTATATGTTACAATGCAATAATAATAGAAATAGAGTGTACAATAAATGTAATGCGCTTGAATCATCCCGAAACCATCCCCCCCTCAATCCATGGAAAAATTGTCTTCCATGAAAATGGTCCCTGGTGCCAAAAAAGTTGGGACTTTTGTTGTAAAGGATGCATTCTGGCCTCCAGGTTCTACTCCTTTATTTTTAGCTCTCATTCTATTGAGAACTCAGATGGGGAACACAAGTGCTATGGAGTCCCCTTGGAGACACCTACATTTCTGGGCCTCTCTAAAGCTAGACTTCAATTCTGGCTTATTAACACAGTTAATTTTTTACTATCTCATATACCTCCCTATGTGTGCATTTCCTACATCTCTCCCTTCCTGCTATTTGAAGGCCAGGTCTGAGCCAAATCCATTTTTAAATCTCCACAGAACCTAACACAGTGATTGTGTTACAAAAAGTGCTCAAGTAATCATTACAAAATGAACTGAAGATATATAAACAGAGAAAACTACCTCCTTCAAAACCTTCATTTATGTATCTATCTTTATCAATATCTTAAAAATACATTACTGTGACTATACCTTTACTCTTTTATCATACTTTTTTTGGTTGTTATTTCTTTTCTTTTCTTTTAAGAGATGGGGTCTCGCTCTGTTATCCAGGCTAGAGTACAGTGGTGCAATCATAGCTCACTCAGCCTCCAACTCCTGGGATGGAGTGATCCTCCTGCCTCAGACTCCTGAGTAGCTGGGACTACAGGCACATACCACAGCACCTGACTAATTTATTTTTTATTTTTTATAGAGACAGGGTCTTCCTATGTTGTACAGGCTGGTGTTGAACTCCTGGCCTCAAGTGATCTTCTCACCTCAGCCTCCCAAAGTGCTGGGATTACAGGCATAAGCCACCGCACTCAGCCTTTTTTTGGCATTTCTAAATAAGGCCACCACTCATTGGAAAAGATGAAAAAAAAAATTAAGTGATAATTACAATAGGTAACTTCAAAATCTTTTGGAGCACTATGTGGTTAAAGAGGTTTTTTCCACACTTACCAAATAAAGAGGCCTTACATAAATATTCTGGGTGAACCAAATAACTACAAATCTTATTTTAATGCTAGAAGAATGTTCTGTGAAGCATTGCATAACAACTCCTTTCATCAAGCAAAAGTAATCGTTCCTTTTGTGTCTCCACAGAACTACAGTTACTGATACAGGTGTTTATCCCACTACAATCACCACACCCCAAATGACTCAGAGCTCCTTGAAGACAGTCAATAAATGTATATGGAATGGAGCTGAACGGGACTGTAGAAACATAAAGAAATAGCAAAATAAAAAACCATATATCGAAAATATTACCTACAGCAAGACTCTCCTCGTATTTTCAGTTTTTAATATACTTTCCAAGTACCTAATTTAACCCACAGTTTTTCTCTTAGTGACAAATTTTTTTGAAAATCAATAAACTATACACAGTTGGGGTGGTCTCATCACATAAACTCATTTAAACATATGGAACGCACATTTTATATTACATGTATACAAGTAGTTCTTCAAATAGAGGCTCATGAGTATTGTTAACAGTTTATGATAGTAAAGCTAGAGATAACCAAGGGAAAAATGATTGTGATTTCCCATCTGTAGGTCAAGTGACAGCCCTACCTCTAATCTCTATGATGATGGTTCAGATCCCGAACAAAAATACAAAATAGACAAAGGAGTGATTAACACTATATAGGAGAAAGTGAAAAATCAAATTGACTCATCTCTGTACCTCGAACACCTACCATGGGGCTTGGTGCATAGTCAGCATACAGCAGGTATGTAAAATTTGCTTAGCATGGTACACAAGATTTCCTAGGATGAACAAATTAATAAATAATCTAAAATGTGATATTCAGTTTATGAATCAGACTCCTGAGAGTTTAGTTAAGTTGTATCAGATTTCAAAATTAAAGGCAAAATTGAGGGCCATACCCTTAATCTATGATGATCCATCAAATAATGTCAGCATTGCACATTTACCACATTATAGGACTCAGTAAGTAAACAGGCAAAAAAGTCCTTACTTCCATATGGAGTCCCTGTCAGTAGGATACTTGGCTAAATTTTTCAGCAGCTCCACCAATGCAAGATGAATCCCTTCCTTGGTTGAAACATTAGTACAGCATAAAAGTTCATGAAGAGCCTCTCTAATATCTCTGGATGAATCCTTAAAAAAAAACACAACAGGTAATAATAGTAGTCACTGTTGGTTAGCAGACTCAGCCTCCACCTACCATCCCCTTCTACTTAGCCACCTTCCCATCTAGGGTGGCCATGTAACAAAATATGTAGAAGTTTGCCAGCTAAAATTCCTGAAAAACCTTTCATTTTATTGATAAATAAAGGACCAGATATAGTAGCCCTGCCCTACTCTTGGCTCTTTAACCTTCCTTCTCCTTCCTGTCTGCAACTCAGTCATGCTGTTCAAGGGACATAAGCCTTCTTGCAACTATGAAGAAGGACAGGCTAAGAATAGATGCCAAGAGAGAGACAGAGGAACAGCTGGTTGGTGGAGCAGTCAGAATACATACGTTTATCAATTAAGCTTGCTGTCTTATGTGGGAACGGTTTGTGCACCCCAAAACTATTACAATAGTAACATCAAGGATCATTGATCATAGATCACCATAACAGATATAATAATGAAAAACTTTGAAATATTGTGAGAATTACCAAAATGTGACACAGAGACACAAAGTGAGCACATGCTATTGGAAAAATGGCACTGATAGACTGGCTGAACCCAAGGTTGCAAAAAATCTTCAGTTTGTAAAAACAACATCTGCAAAGCACAATAAATAAAGGTACGCCTGCACACATTAAATAAAGGAATAAGGAAAAGAGTCAATCTATCTGATATGAATTTCAAGAAGACTCCAAGAATAAGAAATGTTGAAAAGAGGGAAATAAAAACATCACTCTTCTCCATAAAATCCCACAATGATTTCCCATAATACTTAGAATAAAATCCAAACATCTTACAATGGCCTACAAGGCTCTCCACCTGTCCCCTATTCATCTCTCAAACCTTCATCTCATACCACATATTTCTACTTCCTCACTACATTCCACTTAACTGGCCTTCTTACTCTCTGTTCTGCAAACACACCAAAACTCATTTGTCCCCTACAGAGCCTTTCCACTAGCTGTTGCCTTTACCTGTAGTTCTTTCCTCCAGTCAACACATGGTTGGCTTCTTTTTATCATTCAAGACTCAACTTGAACAGCATCTCAGAAAGGCTTTACTGACCACTGCATTTACAGTGCAATTTCTCACTCCTCCATTATACTGTTTACCTTCTGCATAAGGTTTATCACCATCTGAAATCATTTTATTTGTTTACCTCTCTTTAGAATATAAGTCTCATGACAGCAGGGATCCTATCTTTTGTCACCACTATATTTCTTTTTTTTTTTTTTTTTTTGAGACAGAGTCTCACTCTGTTGCCCGGGCTAGAGTGCCATGGTGTCAGCTCTCACAGCAACCTCAAACTCCTGGGCTCAAGCAATCCTTCTGCCTCAGCCTCCTGAGTAGCTGGGGCTACAGGCATGAGCCACCATGACCGGCTAATTTTTTCTATATATTTTTAGTCGTCCAGCTAATTTTCTTTCTATTTTTAGCAGAGACGGGGTCTCACTCTTGCTCAGATTGGTCTCGAACTCCTGAGTTCAAACGATCCTCCTGCCTCGGCCTCCCAGAGTTCTAGGATTACAGGCGTGAGCCACCGTGCCGACGAATCACCACTGTATATCTAGTACATAGACAGTACTCATTGAATAAATAAATGAATGCCTCCAGGCAGGGTAGTATTTTAGCATAGAAAAAAAAAGGAAATTCCAGCTGAAAGGGTCAGCTAGCTGAGGCTTGAAGCAGTGAAATACAGTGACACAGTAAACATAAGGGAGCAGTGAGTAGCAGGGTAGAGTTCAGAGACAATAAGTTTATGTAAATCTAAACTCTTAAACAGAATTACCAGTAAAGGAATTTATACTTATACAAATTATATATAAAAGTGCTCACAAACAAGCATACCTGTGGCTCTGTGAACAATTCTGTACATCAAAACATAGCTCAACTACTCAGCAAACATTTACTGAGTTCCTAATTGTGCCAGACACTGTAAAGCACTGGGAATAAAAAAATGAAAAAAGCCAGGATCCCACTTAAGAAGCTGAATCTTCTTGAGATAGAGAATTACTGAAAAATCCTAAAGCAGTATATACGGGGTGTCATGGGAGTACAAAGGAGTAGCCTTTAGCCCACCCAGGGGTGGGGGCAGCAGTCACGGAAGGCTTCCTGGATGTGCTACCTAATGCAGGCTATGGGAATAAGCAGAAGTCTGTTAGGTGAAAGGTGAAAGTTTTGTGGTAGAGGGGAAAAATAACAGTGAAGGCAAAATGAGGAAAAGCATGAAGTGTTGGGAAGTGACTATAACATAAAGTTCAAGGTGAGGAATAGTGGAAAAGAAAAGGAAAGGAGTGGCTAGACTATGAGACTACCCATGAAGAACAATAAACAAAATGTAAACTTATCATATTAGGAAAAATTACAAATAAAGATTTAAAATTCAGGAAAAATCTTAAGAGAAGTGCTAAGCAACTGAGAGAATGGTAGGGACTTTCAAAACCAAAGCACCCAATCTGTTTTCAAAGTATGTTGCAGAAATCTATAAGAAGTGTCAAGCATCAAACTGCTATCCCTTTCACATCTGAATCCCATTTCCTACAAATGGAAACCAGAGGCCAAATCCCATTTATGAATACCTTGAAAAACTTCAGTATTTGCAAATAAAATCCAGACATTTTAGAAGAATAATTCAAGAACCACATAGAGAGGTATAGCCTGGGAAGCAAATCTGTGTTCGTATCCTAGTGCAGCCACTAATTTGCTCAGACAACTTAGTTTTTTCTCTATAGAACTATAGGTTTGAATGAATAGATCCCTAAGAGGCCACCCTGCTATAATAGCTTATAATTCACTAGAAGAATGAAGTCAAAAGTTGAAAAGAACTCTTCATTACTTGGCCCCTGCTTTATTTATAGCCACTTCCTCCCCTCCCCCACCTCTTCATCTCTATGCTATCACTATAATAAACTCCTTCTAATTCCTTGAATATATCATATTTTCTCTTACCTACGGATTTTTGGAAATTGCTCCTCTGTTTGGTACCTTTACACCCTACCACCAGTGCCACTCCCTCCTTGAAAAAAGATGCCTCTTTAAGTCCTACTCCTCCTTGAACTGTCTGTCCACTATAGCATTTCTTCTTTCTTCCCTATACTCCCAACCTCACTTCAGCCAATTCAGGTTAGATACTCTGTATCCCCAGGGCACCCTATCCTTTCCTGATCAGAGCAAGACCAGGCTTATTCATACTTCTGTTTAACAGTCAATTTTCTCCATCTTGGGGAAGGGGTGTGTTGGGAAGGCAGCACTGTTCTGCCTGACATACTGTTATGTCACCAACACCAAGCACAATACCTGATTTTAAAAGGAAGGGGGCACTCAGATATTTGATGAGGAAATGAGTAACAAACTGGCAACACTCACCTCTAGCACAGCCAGGACAGTGTCAAGCTGATCTTCTCGGAGGGTGATATTGTTAGAGATTTTTCTCATAGTATGTATGGACTGCAGACGTACTTCCTCAATTTCATCATTAAACATGTCAACCAGGAAATCAAGGCATTTCTCAGCAAAAGAGGGTGAAGATTGGGCCAGCATGCAGAGAGCCTCCACAGCAGCAATACGGACCTCTAGAATAAAGGGGACAAATAGCAGTGCACATTAGTGCACACAGTGGCACACAACTGTAGGCCCAACTACTTGGGAGGCTGAGGCAGGAGGATCAGCCGAGCCCAGGAGTTCAAGGCCACCCTGGGCAACATAGTGAGACCCTGTCTCTTAGGAAAAAAAAATTATAAAGGAAACAATTGTGCATCAAGTTAAGAGCCATGGAAAAAATCCAGGATAGATTCTTTCTTCTTCAGGCTGTCTTTCATTCTCTATCGTCTCACTCTACAAACACTCCCTGGGAGATCTCTATGCCACAGTTTTAGACACTATCTTCACACTGATCTAAGAACATGGAGTTTGGTGTCATAAGGACAAAAGTTTAAGTCTGATGCCATATACATGTGATCAAGTCACATGTCTGTCTACATGAAGTGAATTTCTTGAAAACTATTAACAAGTTGTCTTACTTATCTCAATATTCTGACCACAATATTTTTTAAAAGTCAGTTATTAAATATTATCATTATTATTAAGATTAAAATAGGCTAAATATGATTATTCTCATTTTGGAGATAAGATTTGGCAAAGTAAATTATCTTACCTCAAAGTGAGTGAGGGCAGAGATAAGGCTAGTGCCTAGGTCTATGGATTCTAGGCTAGCATCATGGAGGGTGATCTCAAATAAGTAACTTAATTTCCTAGCACCTCAATTTTCTTACCTGTTAAATGTGAGATAATATCCATTTCCTTACAAAGTTGTTAGAACCAAATGAGATAATGCAGGCAAAGCACAAAGCACACTGCCTGGCATATGTTAAAAAGCTCGATCACTATCAGCCAGGGCATAGGTATGGGTTCCATAAGCGCCTTGAAAACTGAGGCATGTCTTTTGCCCCTTTGCCTGCTCAGAACTTGTAACAGTGCAGCCACTGTAACCAGGAAGCCCTTCGTTCATTCACTAATAAATGTTTCCTGAATACATACTATATGCCAGGCCCTGTACGAAGCGCTAGGATACAGACATGAGAAATGAGTAAGATACAGACAATGCTCACAAGACTTCCATACATGGCTGTTTTGTTCCAGTAGTTCCCAAATGGTTCTCCAACAAAATATACAGTTTCAAAACAAAACAATAAAACCTAAAGTTGTGGTTAATACTCACAAACACAATTTGTTCCTTGTATAAGAAAGGTCTTACAGACACATTAAAAGTAGAGTTACTACATTAAAGAGAGATGATTTGGATTTTCCTTGATAGTTATGAATTCCTCCTTTTCATCAGAAGGGAAGTATTTTCTTCACTTCACTTATCACAATAATATATATATTTTTAGATAGATATGGGGTTTTGCTATACATGAGGGCTGTCCGGAAAGTATACAGCCATGTAATATGAAAATTACATATTAACGATGGCTGGACACTTTCCAGAGAGCCCTTGTATATTTTCCAGGCTGGTCTTGAACTCCTGGCCTCAAGAGATCCTCCCGCCTCAGCATCTTGGGTGGCTGTGATTACAGGTGCATGCCACGACACCCGGCTCACTTCACAATAATATAATTTAAGCGAGAAATTGCTAATAATTATAAAGTAAGCTAGAGATGAACCCAAACATGTTAAGTGCTGACTCTCCTTCCTGGGGTTTTATCCATTACACCACACTGACTCGTGTGTAACCTTTGCAAGTCCATGAAGGGAATCACAGGGGAACTTCCAATCAGCATGAGATAATCAGTGTGACCTGAGCTGATGCAATTCCAAGCAGAAGCAAAGAAATCTGGTGCTTAACTCTGCCTGTACAGCCATGCTACAGCCAAGTAAATTTACATTTTCCACTGAACTTTTTGGAATGTCGAAAATATGTCACAGACTCCTTTAGGGTCCAGGGCAGAGAATCTGCTATACTAGAAAAAACAGACTGATCCTCAGTATCTGAAAATGTGTAATCAGAGGTGACTTAGCTACTTACTAGCTTTGGACTTATTAGTAAAGACACAAAGATGAACAAGAATAAGACTGCCTCCCAAAGCTTACAGACAAGAATAGTTAACTGCATTACAAAGTGATGAGTGCTACCATGGAAAAGCACAGGGAATGTAAGAAAACGCACAAGAGGCATATAGCCCAGTCAATGGGATCAGAGGTGGCTTTCTGGAACAAGTGATCCCTAAAATGATACCTGAAGGAGCTGCTAAATCAAAAGAAAGAAAAAGGCCTTTCTAGGCAGAGGAATTGCATACACAAAAATCCAAAAGGGAAGGAAACCATGGATGAATTAGAAGACTAAAAGTGTGTGAGGTACTATACTAGAGTCTACAGCCAATAAAATAAGGCTCCATTTCATTCCGAGCAATGTGCCCCTAAAACCCAAATTTACCCAGAATCTTATACATGTGATAAAATTAGAAAGCTGTCATATCTGATACCTGGTTATGGTCTACTCACTTTCTAAACTGAAGTTAATTTAATTAAATCTTAGTGACAAGCTGAAAACCGTATAACTAAACCACATAAATGTTAATAGTGATGGGCCGGGCGCGGTGGCTCACGCCTGTAATCCTAGCACTCTGGGAGGCTGAGGCGGGTGGATTGTTTGAGTTCAGGAGTTCGAGACCAGCCTGAGCAAGAGCGAGACCCCGTCTCTATCAAAAATAGAAAGAAATTAATTGGACAGCTAAAAATATATAGAAAAAAAATTAGCCAGGCATGGTGGCACATGCCTGTAAGTTCCAGCTACTCGGGAGGCTGAGGCAGTAGGATTGCTTGAGCCCAGGAGTCTGAGGTTGCTGTGAGCTAGGGCTGACGCCACGGCACTCACTCTAGCCCGGGCAACAAAGTGAGACTCTGTCTCAAAAAAAAAGAAAAAAAAGCATTAATAGTGATGAAATTCAATTACAGAAATTAACAAAGCAAAATGCTAAAAGAAACAAAATAGGTTTCAGTTACTCATCTTAGGGTAAAATGGGTTTTAATAACTAGACTTCCTTATTATCTAACACTATTTAAACTGTAATTCATGTTATAAGTTCACAGAGAACAAAAAAGAAGAGGAAGCTTTAACCAATTTCTACACATAGAGAATATCTTAGAGCAAATTGGATAGGGTAACCCAATTCTTACCTACTGATAAAAAACTGTCTTTCAAAAATAATATTCTTGCCCTTCTAAGAAGAAGTTCTATCCTGAGATAATTTTTTTATAGGCATTTTTAAGACCTGGGTTCTAATCCTGTCTCTGACACAAATTTACTGTAAAATTTAGACAATCAACATTACTTCCCCAGGTCTGTTACTGTCACTGAAAATGAATACGTTGGAGTCAATCACCTCAAAGCACTGCCATTCTATCTATGTGAGACAGATAGCATCATATTATGGAAATCACAAGAGCTTTATAGGACTTCTATTACAAGATAGAGTAACAAGGACCAGCTTTATCCTCCCAGGACAAGAGACAAAATACACGAAACAACAGCATTCGAGACACTGGACATCAGGCCATAAAGGACAGCAATCTCTGAGAAATGGGAAATAGATGAGGTGAGTTCTATGATTACAGTGGTTTAGTGTTTAGAGAGTTCCAGGTACCAGAGTTGAGAAGACAAGAGCTGGGAGTCTAGGGAGGCCAATGTGGCTAGAGTTCATAGGGCAAACTACCAGAAAGGAAGGAATTGCACAGAGAAATAGAGAGCTGTAAGATCTGCAGAGGGTCCCTCTCAAGTCTTCAGCTGAGTTCTGATGTGTGAGGAAACTACCTGAGGCCTGGAAACGAACCACTCAAAAGGATTAAAGGAAACAATCCCTAGCACTCACACAGGGCCTATAATACTGCAGTTTATTCAGCAGAGATTTTCTTCAGTAATGGAGAAAAGCCCTAATCCAAATGGTGCTCTGGTCCTGTCCAAAAAAGCTTAAAAATAAGACCTGAGCAAAATGTGTATAAGAACAAAGCTCAAGGATAGTTATAGGAATAAAATAATGTTAAGTATCCCAATAAAGTAAATTCACAATTGGATGTCTGGCATCCAGTTAAAAATTATCAGACATTGGCTGGGCACAGTGGCTGATACCTGTTATCCAAGCACTTTGGGAGGTTGAGGCAGAAGGATCACTTGAAGCCAGGACTTTCAGACAAGCCTTGGCAACCTGGCAAGACCCTGTCTTTACAAAAACATTTTTTTAAATTATCGGACATGCACAGAAGCAGAATAATATAATACAGGAGGAGAAAAAACAATTAAAACCAACCTAGGAAGCATAGAAATAACAGATCTAGTAGACAAGGATAGCAGGACAGTTATAAATGTATTATCTATTGAAAAAGCTAGAGAAAAGATTAAGCATGCTAAATAAAAACATGTAAGATACTAAAAAGACCCAAATTCTAATCAGACTTCTAAGGATGAAAACTATACATCTGAGGTGAAAAATACTCTATATGAGATTAACATCAGATTAGCCATACAGAAGAAAAGATTAGCGAACTCAAAGACAAAGCAATAGATACTATCCAAAATGAAACACAGGCCGGGCGTGGTGGCTCACGCCTGTAATCCTAGCACTCTGGAAGGCCCAAGCGGGAGGATTGTTTGAGCTCAGGAGTTCGAAACCAGCCTGAGCAAGAACGAGACCCTGTCTCTACTAAAAATAGAAAGAAATTAATCAGACAACTAAAAATATATAGAAAAAAAAACTAGCCGGGCATGGTGGCACATGCCTGTAGTCCCAGCTACTCGGGAGGCTGAGGCAGAAGGATCGCTTGAGCCCAGGAGTGTGAGGTTGCTGTGAGCTAGGCTGACGCCACGGCACTCACTCTAGCCCGGGCAACAAAGTGAGACTCTGTCTCAAAAAAAAAAAAAAAAGAAATAAAAATATTTATTTAGCAATTATTCAATGATATGCCTTCAGTTATCAGAACAAAAATACAAAAATAAAAAGATATCAACTCTACAGTCAATGATTTCACAGACTTGTGAGAGAAACTGATAAGCAGAGACATAACTACACTATGTCATGAAATATTATAAGACACATCCATAAAGAATGCTATGCAAATGGAGAGAACAAGCAGTACAGAGTAGAGGCAGGGAGAGGTAGATTTGGGAAATTGGAAACCGCAGTGCAAATGAAGTATAAGAAAGATGCCATGTGGAGTCGCCGCCGCTTCCTCCGCCAACGTTGTTGTTGTGGTCGGTGTGCTGAGCTCCGCGGCTCCAAGAGCCGGTCCGTCCCCTTCCCGCCGCTGCCATGAAGTGGATGTTCAAGGAGGACCACTCACTGGAACACAGATGTGTGGAATCCTTGAAGATTCGAGCGAAATATCCCGGCCGGGTCCCGGTGATTGTGGAAAAGGTCTCAGGCTCTCAGATTGTTGACATTGACAAACGGAAGTACTTGGTTCCATCTGGTATCACTGTGGCTCAGTTCATGTGGATCATCAGGAAAAGGATCCAGCTTCCTTCTGAAAAGGCGATCTTCCTGTTTGTGGATAAGACAGTCCCGCAGTCCAGTCTAACTATGGGACAGCTTTACGAGAAGGAAAAAGATGAAGATGGTTTCTTGTATGTGGCCTACAGCGGCGAGAACACTTTCGGCTTCTGAGGGCCATTGCTAGGCTAGGTGCACTGTTCCTGCTTGTGTATCTTGTAAATAGCTGGCCATTTTCAGTTGTTATACCAGACCCTCTCCACAAAGACCTATTAGTGCGTTTGTAACCGGATTTATTTCTTAATATATTGGAAGGTTTTGTTTCCTTAGACTAGTAAATCATCATACAGAGTTTTATTTTGAGTTTTTCCTTTTGTGCACTATCTTCATGGCTATACTCTCCAGGGAACTTGTTCTTCTGGAAATCATATTTAACGAAGATATTTCCATATCAAAGTGAGGTAGGTGCGGTATTAAAGTCAAAGAAAAGGAGATAATGCATTTATTCTGGATTATGTTTGAAGTGTTAGAAGGCTAAGTATTAAAAGCATCCAAATTAAATCCTTGGCAATCAGAACACTTGCGTCACTAGATTTTGCCAACTGCCAATCATGTTGGACTGAGCTAATCTGTTCCTCTTTCTGAAACTACTGAAGTAAATAACAGTAAAACTTCCTCTTATAAAGGCAAAAAAAAAAAGATGCCATGTGAAGCATTAAGTGGTTTTAGGAATGGAACATGGTATGGGAGTGCTAAAAATGAGGCAGGACAGACAGGATTATAAAAGGCCTTGTTTGCCATGGTAAGGGGATTATCTTATGAATAATAACTAGATAATCTCAACTAAACACTTAATGAGCTAAACAGTGTGTAAAATATTTTGTGTATAGTTTTCAAATTTATTCCTCCTGATAATACCATAAAGAATGTACCTTTATCATCACCATTGTTTAGATGAAAATTTGAGGCTAAGATTAAGTAACTTGCTCATTTCAAGTAAGGGAGAACACAGATTTATATTTCATAAAGTTCATCTTACAATTGTGTGGCTGGTGGACCATAAGGAATCCAAATGATAACAAAGAGACCAATTTAGGAAGCTATTGGAGTAGGTTCTAGATATTCTTAAGGAATATCTCTGAGACCGGCCGGGTGCGGTGGCTCACGCCTGTAATCCTAGCTCTCTGGGAGGCCGAGGCAGGCGGATTGTTTGAGCTCAGGAGTTCGAAACCAGCCTGAGCAAGAGCGAGACCCCCTCTCTACTAAAAATAGAAAGAAATTAATCGTACAACTAAAAATATATAGAAAAAATTAGCCGGGCATGGTGGCACATGCCTGTAGTCCCAGCTACTCGGGAGGCTGAGGCAGTCAGATCGCTTGAGCCCAGGAGTTTGAGGTTGCTGTGAGCTAGGGTGACACCACGGCACTCTAGCCCGGGCAACACAGTGAGACTCCGTCTCAAAAAAAAAAAAATAAAAATAAACAAAACAAAAAAAACCAAAATGACCAAAGTCATTGCATTAGAGTAAGAGGAATATGGGTGAATTGTTTCCCCTTTCCCTCTATTCATAAAAAATTCTTTAACTCTTTATTATCACTTTTATAATTAAAAAATTGAGGTACTGACAATGGCTGTACATATCATATTCTCAGACTCATATTTGGTCCCACCAACCATGTTAGAGAACCATCACAGTCAAAGCTTAAGGGCATTCCATAAGAGGCATTTTGTTAGTGTTTGGTGATCACTCTTCCATGAGAACAGCTGTTGAAAAGGAGTCCTAAAATGTCATACTATTTCACAAAATAAGAACAGACCTTTGGTCTGCGGCCACCCCGCCCTGACTGCGCCGGATCCCGTCTGCCCTCTGAAGAACAGACCTTTGTAGTTTCTAACAAACGGAAAGTTAATCTTTTCTCTTCTTTGTAAAACACAACCTGCACAAAGTATTTCATTATAATAATACAAAATTTAATGGCATAGCTTGTATTACAATTTGGTTCAATTTACTAAGATTTTAAATTAAATTGTAATCTAGTCATCCTACATTAATTTAACAAATGCATGGGCTGCTAAATTAAATAAACACAACTCAGCATATAGCCACACTGATACTGGTTACAGAAACTCAGTTTAAACAACAAAGAATTCAAGTTACCCTCAGATCTGACATCAGCTTCTTATCAAGGGTCTGCTCCAAGAAATGAGAACTGACTTGCTCCATAGAGCCCTAAAACAGAAAGAATCCAGGGTAACTTTTATGATTTAAACATTATCTTAAAATACAAAGTTTGGAGCCAACTTAAATGAATAAAGACAACATTATCCATGATAGTAAAGATATCTATGGGTTCTGAATCACCAGGAAAATAACAAAAATACAAGCAGCAGCTAACACCTAAATAGAGCTTACTACGTGTCATGTACTATTCTAAGAGCTTTACACATATATTAACTCATTTAATCCTTACTATAACCCTACAAAGTAAAAACTATTATTAGTCTCATTTTATATATGGGGAAAAGGAGATATAAAAAGATTAAGTAACATATTCAAGGTCACAAAGAGTGAACTGAACAGCTGGGATATAAACCTGGTTCCAGAATCCTCTGCAACTTAACCACTATTCTCTACTCTCTCTCCACTCCTTTTCATTCATTCCATTCATGTGTTCATTCATTCACACATTCAATAAAACAAATGCTGCCAGGTGTGATGACTCACACCTGTAATCCTAGCACTTTGGGAAGCTGAGGCGGGAGGATTGCTTGAGGACAGGAGTTTGAGCTTAGCCTGGGCGACATAGTGAGACCCATCTTTACAAAAAATTTTAAAAATTAGCTGGTTGTGGTGGTGCACACCTGTAGTCCCAGATACTTGGGAGGCTCAGGCAGGAGGATCACTTGAGCCCAGGAGCTTCAGGTTGCAGTGAGCTATGATGACACCATTGCACTCTAGCCCAAGCAACAGAGCCAGACCCTATCTCAAAAGTTAAATAAAGAAATAAAGGCCGGGCGTGGTGGCTCACGCCTGTAATCCTAGCACTCTGGGAGGCCGAGGCGGGTGGATTGTTTGAGCTCAGGAGTTCGAGACCAGCCTGAGCAAGAGCGAGACCCCAGTCTCTACTAAAAAATAGAAAGAAATGATTTGGAAAACTAAAAATATATATATATATATAAAATTAGCCAGGCATGGTGGCACATGCCTATAGTCCCAGCTACTTGGGAGGCTGAGGCAGAAGGATCGCTTGAGCCCAGGAGTTTGAGGTTGCTGGGAGCTAGGCTGACGCCATGGCACTCTAGCCCAGGCAACAGAGCAAGACTCTGTCTCAAAAAAAAAAAACAAAATAGCAACTCGAGGGAAAAAGACATGTTATATACAGAGGAAGATAAAAATAACAGCAGACTTCTCCACAGAAAACTATGAAACAACATCTTTAAAAGACTGGGAGAAAAATCTTACTAATCTAGAATTCTATTCCCACAAAAATGTCTTTCAAAAATGAAGGTAAAATAAAGTCCTTATCAGTCATAGAAAGGGTTTCCAGTCAGACATACTTAGATTTAAATCTTGCTTCTGTCTCTTACTGGCTGAGTAACTAATACCAAGTGACTGCCATTATTAATAATATCAATTTTTACTACCAATTATTAAGCGCTTATTATGAATAGGTCATGTATTGCACCAAGTGGTTTATGTATATGTAACCTCGTTTAATTCTCACAACTCAGAAAAACAGTTATTTTTATCACCATTTTGTAAAAAGCTGGAATCTGAATATAGATTAACTGAACCCAAAGCCCATGCCCTTAACCACTGTATCATACTATATGGGCCTCAGCCTCTTCTGTTTGTAAAATATGTAAAATTATGATTTGTAAAAATCATAATAAGTATTTCACAGAGTGACTGTGAAGACTAAACAAGACAATGCATGTATATCACCCAGTACAATGCATGACACATAGCAGTCACTCAGTAAATGAGAACTATTATTACTATGTAGTCATACTTACCATACATCTCATCTTCCAATCCATGAACAAAAGCTCCACAAGCTCCCGACTCAATCAAGTTCACAGCCCCAGTATCTACTTCTTCCTTGGGAGCATCGTCTCCCCACTTCCTGCCGCTGGAAAACTCCCCTGAACTGTACAGTTCCTTGGCACGCTCATGTGCAGTACGTTTCCTCTGGAGAGGACAACAACAATTACCAATCGCAAGAGGTTCATGAAGTGACATTAAGGTGCACCCTGAGAACATGGGAAGGTAGGAAATAAAACTGCTCTCTGAGAGTTACACTTTTTCAAAATTACTCAGGAGTTTAGGGCAGAGAAATGCAAATTCAATTAAAAGTGAGACCAAAGGCTCATGGGTCTACAACAGCTGAGAGTAACCTAATTAAAGAGGATGAAGATAGCTAAAGAATGTGTTGATCAGACAGATGGTTTAGTTTGCCATGGCAACGACATAGGAAAGGGAGCACCAGACAAGCAAAAAATGGCAGTGTCCCTTCAAACGACTATTTGGGTATAGACAAAACACTCATTCTAGAAAATAATTGTTTTCAATCCCAGTAAAAGCAATCCTCTACTTAGTAACACTGTGCTCTGCTTGAGCAACAGTGTGCTCACCAAACAATCTTCCAGTAAGTTCACTTTCTATACAGATTGCCTAAGGGGGAATATACTGGTTGGCAAAAGCAAACATCCAGTCCACCTGACAGTTATGGCTCTCATCATAAATGAATGAACTAGCACTCTGATTTATACATCAGCCTCTCATGAACCTTCGTAGTGTGAATTCATAACCTCATGGCTGCTCATCGAAGAAGCAATGATGAGACAGAGCACCTGGGCCTGCAAGAATGTGGGTTAGGTCCAGCATTAAAGCTTGTACCTTGTGACATGTCTTAGAAACCCTTGCGTTACCCACCCCTTCCCATTCACCACACGCATTTCCTTCTTCACACTTCTACCACATCACACACAAAGAATACTTAAAATCAAACACCATGCCGGGCGCGGTGGCTCACACCTGTAATCCTAGCACTCTAGGAGGCTGAGGCGGGTGGATTGCTCAAGGTCAGGAGTTCGAGACCAGCCTGAGCAAGAGCGAGACCC